TGGTCCCCGCCCCCTCTGCAATGAGCCATAGGCTCCACGCCTGCCCAAGAGTAAGAACCACAGCCAATTTATTTGAATCATCTTGGACTCAATACAATGAGACATCAGTTTATAAACACCTTCAGCAGGTAGACCCGCTGTAGTGGAGGTGCTTATCCGTGCTGCACTATACTGAAGTGGCACCGAGCCAAGAAAAGGCTCTTTCTCTCTTTGTCTCTCTCTCTCTCTCTCTCTCTCTCTCTGTCTCTCTCTCTCTCTCTGTGTCTCTCTCTCTCTCTCTCTGTCTCTCTCTCCCTCTCTCTGTCTCTCTTCTTCCTGTCTCCTCTCTCTCTCTCTCTCTCTTCCTCTTCTGTCTCTCTCTCTCTCTCTGTCTCTCTCTCTGTCTCTCTCTCTGTCTCTCTCTCTTCTCTCTCTCTCTCTCTCTCTCTCTCTCTCTGTGTCTCTCTCTCTTCTGTCTCTCTTCTCTCTCTCTCTTCTGTCTCTCTCTCTGTCTCTCTCTCTGTCTCTCTCTCTGCCTCTCTCTCTCTCTCTGTCTCTCTCTCTGTCTCTGTCTCTCTCTCTGTCTCTCTCTCTGTCTCTGTCTGTCTGTTGTCCCTCTCTAGCAGGCCTATTTTTTTTTACTCAATAACGGACTGTGATTTAAAATGTAGCGAATTACAATACTTAACAGAAAACCTACTTAAGTAAAAGTAAAAGTACAGATTTTAAAAACGACTTAAAAAGTAGTAAGTACACCAAAAAACTACTCAATTACAGTAACGCGAGTAAATGTAATTCGTTACTTTACAACTCTGCACGTGAGATGCTTCTTAAAGAGCCCATATTATGCCCTTTTCTGGGTTCGTATATTTAATCTATGTACCTACTTTTGTACGTTCACAATAGATAAAGTTCGAAAAAAGTGTCTGTTTTCATGTACTGCTCCTCTTTGCTCCCTCTCCACTCTGAGTCCGTCAGCTGCACTCTGCTGAGCCCACACTGTTAGACTCCACGTGGGCCAAGTCTGCTCTGATTGGTCTGCCGATCCGCTCTGTCGTTATTGGTCAGTTGCTCAGCACGTATCTCGGAAATTTCAACATGAGCTGCAGGGCTTGCCACAACGAGCCAATGGACTTAGATCAGTGATCTCACACTGACAAGACGTCACACTGACAAATTTATATCGAGGGGGGCTAGAACCGAGCGTTACATGCAGCTAATGCTACAGCTAACAGGAGGAGGTAGGAGAAGCCGCGTTTCCGCGGATTTTGAATTTTTGCAAATAGATGTGCCTAAACATGCACAGGACACATGGAAAACACACTAAAGAGCATATAAAACCAGAAAAAGCCTAATATGGGACCTTTAATGCTCTGGTTGTTAATTTACCTTCTTTGAGATATATGAAGTAACACATAGTTTTTCTTTCTCCTGGTCTTTTTAAAAAAAAATGTTACAAAATAACTGTAAACCTCTGCAGATGATCCCGAATGCAGCAGCATGACTTTGTCTTTAACTAACTCAAAACCAGACATGTCCCACTGCTGGTTCTGTTCAGTTGCTGCCCTCATTAAATTCAACAATTTGATTCACGCTCAAAAAAACATGTTTGCACCAAAACTGCTCCTCTTAACCTGTATTTCCTTTTCCTGTTCTACACTCCCTCCTGCCCAATAATGGTTATGGATATCCATGTCAATATGAAAAACATATCACTATATTTTTGATGGTAGGAAATGGGGCTGCACGATATATTGTTTCAGCATCGTCAACGCAATGTGCGCTATAGTCACATGTCAGGACATGTGAAGTAAGGGCAATTAACTCAAACACGTCATTCTACAACTCCTTTGCTGATTGATAAAAAAGGAAATCTCACCCAGTTATTTTCCCCCATGATTCATCTATAAAAGAAGTATTTCTGGAATAACATTATTTACTCTGATTTGGGTTACTAGATACTCGGAGTGAGCGACAGGCAGGACTTCTAACCACCAATCACAATCGTTCAATAAAGCCACCAAAGACGGCCCCACTTGTGTCGACCGCAACCTAAAAAATGAACAAGGAACAAGATGAAAGCTTGTAGTCTGTCTGTTTAGTTTTTTTTACATTTTATATTTTAAGTTGCTTTAAACTAAAAAGTCAAGCTGCATTTTATATTGTGCATCCATTGCTCTCTTGTTTCTGACGTGCTTTACTATGAAGTTTTAATAATCTTGCAGTTGAGTGTTATGTTGGCCATTTTTTATTTTTCATTTGAAAAAGAAAAGTAGTGTTAATATCTAGGGAGTTCCTTCTGAGGTAAAATAAAAACTCTGGAAAAACGATCCAAACCGAACCAAACTAAAACAACAAAAGAGGTCCTTGTCATTTATTGGGAATTACCCTAAAACTATTCAAATCAAATCTGCCAAGAAGATCTCATATAATGAAGGATTGTGAAATACATTCCAAACAGAGAAGTGATGATTGTCAAGAAGAGCATAAATAGATAACTAAACCTGGAAGCAGACATCTTAAATCTTGTAATCTCTCCGTTGTTAAAGTGATGTGGCATGAATGTTTATGAGGAGTCTCTCTTTAGCATTTAGCCTGTAGCCTCTTTCATCTTATCAGTGACTGGTAGGCTAAGCGCATTTTAAAATGGACCTCATGCATTTAAAGCACACTGACCGGTGAAATCAAATCATAATCAAACTGTAACACTTCAAGCACTTTTATAAAAGAAGTCTTTTTTTATTTATTTATAATTTTCAGTTAAGGCAATCCAATACAAAGCATTTCACAACCCACCATATGACAATAATAATTTACAATAAAAACCCATTCAAAGGAAAGCAGGGAGTCATGCAAATCAGAAAACTGGAGAAATATAAACGGAGTTCAACAAAAAAAAAAAAAAGGAATTAAAAGAAGTGTTAATTGTAACGATTGGCTAACAAGCCTCAGTTTCTAAGCACTGCTGAGACAAGAAAAGTTTGGAGAACCAGGCACAAAGAGAGAAGATAGCAAACAGTCCACAGAGCTCACTGCCATGTTTGGCACGGACATGCATTGTAATCTTGTTAGGCCGGTTCCTACTCTACAGATGACAGTACCATGTGTAAAATACTCCTGTATACTGTACCCCAAGTAAACATGCAGCCCATCTATCACACTCATAAACCAGTAGACGAAGTCACCGTCGTTACCTAGACGACGGTAGCAATGGCTTGTCAGACTAACTCAAAAAATAAATACATTTTCAATACAGTAATATTCCAAAAATATATCAACCATGTACATTAAGCACTCCTCTAACGCACAAACTGCCTTTGGGATCTTAATGCAAACCATTTGTTCATCGACCTTTTATTCTGTAAACGGGTTTTCATCTCTCAAGCAAATTGCTGTACATCATTTTCACCAGCATTTACAAAAATGTCTCTCCTCCGCCTAATTGCCATACTTATCCACCTGAACTTCTTTTCAGAACAGAACTTAATGAGATGGAGTGACTGCCTCTCTCTTTATTAAGGCCTTTAGTTTGCTACATTGGACATTTTAAAAGAACCTTTAAAGCTCAGAGTTGTTCTGCTTCACTTTGTTGGTTTAAAAAAAAGAAAGGGACATCTTTTTACAGTCTATTATTCTCATTGCAGCTGTCTTTACCATTACTAAGTACAAGGTAGTCAAAAAAAAAACAGTGACATTGGAACATTTATACAATAAAAATAATTAAAGGATGATTTAAGAGTCCAAAAGAAGGGAGATAGTAGAACTGAGATTTAGATGCTTTATGTCTATGTAAGCTAAAAGGACACAAACAACATCCATCCTAGTGTTGCCTTTGTATTATGCAGGAAAACATTGTGTGGTCAGAGCATAATCTGCTGAATGCATTGGTGACACACTGACGATCCATGTACAACTATTGAGCTCTAATTAATGTCTATAAAGCAATTTTTGAATGCACGCTCTTAGCATGTTACAGTTTACTTATAATCACGTAAAATATAAGAACACCCTTGGCATTAGGAATTGTCTTTTATTTTACTGTAAATAAAAATATGACCTGATGATAAAACCACAGGAAAAGAAAGGGAATCACTGCGGTTATATGAATACATCCTATAGGGAGAGGAAATGATCTGTGAACCAAAATTCCATGACAATCCATCAATAGAAGATTTCAGTCTTGGATGGACTGTCCCACATTGCATCATAATGTTCCCACTGCTAGTGCTGATAAAAAAATCAATGACTTGATAAATGAGGGATCTGCATCCAATTCTAATTTTCCAATGTTCAGCCTGCCTTCATCTACTTGATGGATTTATTAAGATGTTAAATACACTGCCCATGCCGTTGATGTGGCCAATGCAATATGACACTACGAAGTCAAACAAAAAATCTGAGAAGAAACATTATTTGTGCATCATGAGCAGGAATAGTGTGCGATGTCAAGTAACTGGTATTATATGAGAGAAACGAGACTTAAAGGGATACTTCATTCATTTGCATTAATCTTTGTATCATTAGAAACCTGGTAGTATTTTTGCATCCCTCCCTCATTTTCCCCTGAGATGGGAAATCTTTGTATTTCTGAGTCTGAAAAGGAGCTTTCAGTGATGCAAAATGACGATCTTTGCGTCACTGGAAGCTGTTGTTGTTAGTGGGGTGAAACGAGGATGAGGAGCCGGGGCCGGCTTGAGCTGGAGCGGACTGGTAGTGTCGGTGCTCTCACTGTTTGCCTATGGACACAGACATAGAGTCTGTTTTCTGACAGGAATTTCCAAGATGCTCATTCCTTCTGGAAGAAATCTCGGAATCAGTTGAGGAAATGACCTTATGTGTTAAAGTAAATATGTCTGTAACTAGAGGACCTTAGTGGGAGTGGCCTGCAGTGCTGTGCATTCTGGGATTTGGTGTCTTTCAGCCACATGAGCATAAAAGACACTTTCCGCCTTTTCTCAGCCAAGAAGGCACCAACTTCAAAATTTATTAAACATTTCTACTACATATATGACCCAATGTCAATACAGATTCATATTTCAACGGGTGAAGTATCCCTTTAAGTCTCAACTTTGAATTCTTTAATTTAAAAAAATTAGAATCTCCTCTTACTAGGGTTATAACCCTAGTAAATATCTGCTTTCTTTACTGAACAAACCATCCTGACACTGATCATATTTCCTCTTTAATTTCTTTATTTTATGTTGATCTCTGCATTTTTGTAATCTCTAGTAACAGGTTTTACTTGATATGTTACATGGAAGCCAGTTTGTTTTGGTTCTAAATGCTTGATTGTAGAAGGCTAAAAAAGTAAGACTGGCACTTTAGTCTTCGTCTTCACCCCATGGTATAGATACATTTTTAATGTGTTCACACAGGAAGGAAATCCTGTCTTGAATATAATGAACATAAATCCTAAAGCCCTGGAGACACTTGTTAATTGTCTCCCATCAGAGACTTGAAACACAGACAGGGCTGTGTAGAGTGTAAATCTCCAGGGAATAACTCTGGCTGTGATCAAACTGACTTACAGTGTGAAGCTCTAATTCTGGTTGTTAAATGACTACTCAAGCATGGTCTTTGGGGGCTTAAACTTTGCTCCTATGGGAGTATCTTGGTCGCCATGTTGGTGTTCATTTCAGAACCAGATTAACCTGCAATTGGGCTTTGGGCAATAATTACATTTAGGCCTCCTATTATTCTCTGCAATACTACCCAGCTCTACCCAGCCATTGTTCCTGCATTTGAGTGCTAACTGTTCCCAAAGTGCAAGTAAGAATGTACAAATAATATGAAAGCTACATCTTGCCCCTGTGCCTCAATATATGACAATATCAGTCATCCCTGAAGAACCTTACTTTCTGTTTACGACAAACGGTATATTGTGCTTTCACCTTAGTGGAATTTAAACAAGAAGACATCAGTAATAGTCACCTGCATTAGCATGTATGGATGTTTTGTTATATTTCTTTCCTTTACTTATGTCCTCTTTCATAGTCTAGCTTCTATTTATATTATTACATATTCAGTATTTAGTATAAAACCTTTACTTTTTGTGGTTTATAAAAACAGAGGTTTTGATTAAGCAGTCGCTGTTATCATTCTATGTGATGGGAGTTTATCCTGAATGGGGACCTTAAAGGACCATCGTGTAGGATAGGAGAGGATCTATTCTTCAGATTGAACCCTTTATATCTAAACAAGGTGCAGGTTCCTCTTCAGCCGAGTTGGACTGTCAGGCTTCTAACACCGTGTCCTAAGAGCATGCGAGCGTTATATGTTGCATAGCATCGCGCATGATTGCACGCTGGCTTTCCACACTGCATCCCTTAAATATTTCATTTTTTGCTCTGTGAATTTCAGTTTCCCCTTTGCAAACCATATGACATCTGGTGCTTTTGTATAAAAGGTGAACACATGGATGTCATGTGTGCTTTGTATTGACGAGCTGCCGACTCAATCAGGACATTCAAGATGCTCGCCAATAAACAGCTCGCGGTGATCCGAGAAAAACGTTTTTCACCGGTGTTGTTGACCCAAGTCAAAGCTCACCATTTCATTTCAATGTGGGTTTTATTTAAGCAACGTTATCTCCTCTGTTGTACAACAAGCTATCAAGCTCTGTTGATTGAAGAAAGCGAGGTTGAGCCTCCTCGTTCCTCGTCAGTGTTGCCAAATGGAAAATACAGCAATATCGTACTGCAGCTTTAAAATTATCGTATTTTACTTAAAACTATCGTACATATTTTTTTTTAAAAGGAGAAGGGTCCTTAATACCGCACTGAATAGCAAAACTATGTCCTGCACACCACATTAATTTAAATAAACAAACAAAGAACAAACTTTTAAGTGTAAATTTGTGCTGCTTCCACTTTGTGCTGCGTCTCTCATGGGCAGTTAGGACACTCCAATAGGAAACAATTAAATCAAGCTGATTTTGCTGTTGACCTTCTCTCGCGTCACATGCTGTTAGGACAGACTGTAAGGGTGTCAGGTGAAGGGTGGGGTTACATTTGTTTGCAATCTGAAAAAACAAGCCTAGGCCACAATGTATGCTGAGTTTAAGCTGCAGAACAAAAACGATTTGAATAAGATTAACCTGGTTGCATTTTCAAAATATTGCCCTCAGTTTAGAGACAGGTTGTCTTGTGCTTTTTATATGTAACAACTTTAAAATAATGGGTGACCACTTCAAATGAATCGTGTATAACTGATCTATCAAATATCCATGCCACTCGATAACTTTCGAGAATATATTTATATATATTTTCCGGGATACAATTCTCATTCTCATACAGCATGCTTTAAGAAACATTCACATAAAGATGAGAGGCTGTGACACCTCATAGTATGAAAAGCCTGATTTCTGTACACTACACATTTGTACATTTTCCTCCATCGTAAGTGATTCATTAGAAGATATTAAGATATTTCCAAAATATAAAAACTACTTTCAGGAGGGAAAAGGGGGCCTAAAACCATCACTGCATTAGGCCACACTGACGGGTAAGACTGGGGGTCAACATTCATGTCCTGGTACACTTATAGAAACAACCACATACAGGCACAAATTTCAACCACAACATGGCCTCTTTAAACCAACCTGCTGTCAAACCAGACATGAAACAGTCACTGCCTCAGTGTTTATTTAAAGGCTTTCACCAACGAATCCTGGAAAGCTCAGCCAAGATAATAACAGATGAGGAAAAATAAAAAACCTATTCCAGTAGTCGCTGAGATGGTACGGCACAAAACTCAACACACATTGCCTGGTGCGTCAGCTCCTGTTTTCTCCCGTCTGTTTTCCTGTTTCCTGTTTGCATCATGAAACAGGAGAAAGAGAGTTTCTCTTTGGACTCTGACTGGCTGCTGAATACTAACAATCCTCGGTAAACAGCTGAGAGGCGAGCTTCAGATCTGTGTGTGTCCAGGGGGGTGTGTATGGAGGTGGGGCCGGGTTGGGTTTGATCCCTCTGCTCTTCATGTAAGAGATGAACTGGTCCGGGATCTCTGCTAGCACATCTTTAGCTAGCCGAGCCATGCTTAACACGTGGTTACCTGTCCGGTCCATATAATCTCTGAATGGAACAAACTGAAGAAGAACAGAAGAAAGTAGTGATGAATAATCTGAGATGTTAGCATAGGATCTGATAGCATTACTGCTCATAGTGGTTGGTTCATGAATGGCACTAAATACTTTTTAAATGATGACTGTATGGAGCAGGGTGGTTACCTTAATGGAGTCTCTGTTGGGCTCATGTTTAAGCCTCCATGCAAGGACCAAAATGTTGTATATTTTCCTCATAAACTGTGATACTAAGCAAGTGCAATGTGCAGGATTTTCTCTTTCCAAGGCCGTAGTTATCCTCCTACGCACCTGCTTCATGAGATATTTGGATGTGGTAACACCTCCTTTTAAATCATTTGGTTCTGTACAATCTGGCTTCTTATTTCCACCCATAGAATACACCCAACTTTGAGAAAATGCAGCCATGCCTCTGGTTACTGGTATGCACGTTTCTAAGAACTCTAAGCCTTTATGTAATCTTAATGGATGAGTCATTTGAGACCAAAAAAAGTTTTTTCGCACCATGTCAAGTTTGGTTCTGCATCTTAATAGGATCTGATAGGGATTTCGGTTTTTTGGAGCCGGCGCCAAGGGTGCTTTCGAGAACTGCATTTTTTCCCCACTTTTGCAATCACTTAATTTTCCAACACCAGATGCTGTCGCTTGTTTCCACCAAGGGCAGTCGCCCCCTTTTGACCATAACAAAAAGTGCTGTTTTACGACACTATGCCGTTGGCTATTTAGAACTCTCACTTCTTGTATACACCCTGCAAGGTTGTCCTAGGACATTGTTTAGCAGAAGTAGTTAGCAACCAAATCCCTGACACCTATCATCTTGTGATCAATTGACTCATGCAGTAGATGATTGCCAAAAGAAAAGTCATTTAACACTGTACATTGCTGTGGTCATTGAGTTGCCGCTTTATATGAAACACTACAAATTCTACAAACCCTCCACTACCCCCCATTTAGTCAGCAGGTTTTTGAGTCTTTGACACAACAGAAAAACAGACGATGAGTCAGTTGAAACATCATTGATATAAATGTAATTGATACACACATGGTTTCCTGGTGTGAAATATTACCAAACTGTTCAGCATACTTGACTACATTGGAATTCCCAGATGTCCATATCTGCTGAAGCTCCTAGTGCTAACAGATGGCACTTTGTCAGGGAACAAACATTTTGATGCACCAATACAACAGAGGAAATAATGTCAAGGCAGATTGCAAATCTTAACACAGTGTAGGTCCTCTGAAACATTGGGACCTGAAGTGACTGTCAAAGCTTGATAAAATGTCACTGACAGTTATCTGGTAACTGAAATTCCCCTGATATTTGTAAGATCTCTGAACTATTACCCTGCATTTTGTTTGTTCCTAGTCTTCATATTTGCTGTAAATGAAAACAAAGTTTCATGACTCATGCAAAGTGCAGTCACCTGAACAATGTCTCGCTCTGCCAGTTTCCCCCGGGATGAGATCCTGATGTCATCACCATCCAGCTCCACCATAGCTGAACAGCACAAGTTCACGACACACACACACACACACACACACACACACACACACACACACACACACACACACACACACACACACACACACACACACACACACACACATGCGCACAGACAAGTTCACACACACACACAAACAGTGTGAGAACTGAGAAAACACAGCTACTATTTAGGACAGACATACACTGTTCTGTAAGTTTAGTTATACATTAAATCTCTAACAATAATTCTGCATTAGCATCAGTGAAGTTCAAAGGTCATTGAGCTGTACAGCCTCAGACTATTCTTAGTGCTTGTCTAATCAACTAATAAGTCCTTTACTGCTTCCTCTCTGCAATTTAGTATAATCTTTACTAAACACTGCAATTAACCTCAGCCATTTCTCTACAATTATAACGACATCCACCTACACACTCATGTCTCCACTGATTTAAATGAGTCTGAATTACTGCCAGAGTAGGTGAGCGCAGGCTGCATTGGGAATAGGCTGAGTTTAAATAATTAAAATGTAAATTATCATGGCGCATGTTTTGATCTACACTTCAATGGTGTAGATAGTTTAGAGACACTGCTGAGACTTGAGATGTTTTCTGTTACATTACACCAGGGGTCTGCAAGTTCCTTTTTTCTAAGCAAATAGATGGCGGGGCCAGAACATTATCAAAGGTCCATTTATGAAGTTGATTCATAAAAAGAATACAAATGTAATTTGCAACAGGCTGTTACAGTCAGAAATAAAAACACCACAGGTGTGACAGTGTCTGAGTTTTGCGCTGCATGTCCAATAATACAATTCTGAGTCTTTATTTATCAAGGCATGTGCAGAATAAAAGTACTTCATTATTGGCCTATTTGAGTCATGAAATATGTTTGAAGAACAGTGTTTTATTTCTGATTTCCATATTGTAAATATCTCTCTCTCTCTCTCTCTCTCTCTCTCTCTCTCTATATATATATATATATTTATATATAATGACTAACTGCTTCTTTTTAATTCACCAGCATGAGAAGCTTCAGTTTTTACTTTACCGTTGCCCCTAAATCTATACATTTACAGAAGGATCTCTCTCTCTCCCTCTATCTCTCTCTCTTCACTCTCTCTCTCTTCACTCTCTCTCTCTCTTCACTCTCTCTCTCTCCCTCTCTCTCTTCACTATCTCTCTCACTCTCTCTCTCTGTCTCTTCACTCTCTCTCTCTCCCTCCCTCTCTCCACTCTCTCTCTCTCTTCACTCTCTCTCTCTCTCTCTCTCTCTCTCTTCACTCTCTCTCGCTCTCCCTCCCTCTCTCTCTCCCTCCCTCCCTCTCTCTCTCCCTCCCTCTCTCTGTCTCTCTCTCTCTCTCTCTCTCTCTCTGGTGCATGCTGGGAGTGAGTGGTGTGGAGTGAGACGCTGAGCGAGTGTTTTTTGATGTTTTTTTTCTTTAGTAATTTGATTTAATTTAATGTAGTTTATTGGTTGTAGTTTCACTTTAAGTTTATTGTTAGTGTGTATTTGTGTTTTTCTTTTTCTCTCCTGCCGGTGTCTCGCCGGTCGGCATAGTAAATGGAGTCACCTTCGGCCACCTCACGTGAAAGCATGGCATTAAAATCAATGCCAGCAACTCTTTGCCTCCAGGCTGGGGAAGTCTTTGGAGCAGGTCATCCACCGGGACCAGACCTACTGTGTGCCCGGCAGGTCCATGGTGGACAATGTCCACCTCATTCGTGATGTTTTGGACGTCTCCAGCTCATCGGATTGTAACACTGGTCTGATTTCTCTAGACCAGGAAAAGGCATTTGACCGCGTTGAACACAACTTCCTCTGGAAAGTTATGGTTTGGTTTCATAGCCAAGATCAAAGTGTTGTACAGTGGGGTTGAGAGTGTGCTGAAGTTTAACAGCGGCCTGTGTGCTCCTTTCAGGGTGTGTAGAGGCATCAGGCAGGGCTGTGCTCTGTCCGGCATGCTTTACACTCTCTCCCTGGAACAGAAGAACTGGGAGAGCGTCACAGAGAAAATTGAGGGGAAACTTTCCAAGTGAAAATGGCTGCTCCCTCAAATGTCTTTTAAAGGTAGAGTATTGGTTTTAAACAACCTTGTAGCATCCCAACTGTGGCACCGTTTAACCTGTGTAGACCCCCTTTCAGGCTTGCTTGACCAGTTACAAAGGAAAATGGTAGATTTTTTTTGGGATGGTCTACACTGGGTGCCACAAGGGGTGCTGTTTTTAACCAGAGAGGAGGGGGGACAGGGCCTCGTCCACCTGGCCAGCCGGACAGCCACCTTCAGACTACAGTTCTTACAAAAATATCTGACAGGTCCGGCTGATCTAGTGTGGAGAGATGTGGCCAGCTGCATTCTCAGATGTGCAGATTTCCTGGGGCTGGATGCTGCTCTGTTTTTAATTGATTCTAAACTTTTAAAATTAAGTGGGCTGCCTCCGTTTTATCAGGGTGTTTTTAAGTCTTGGGCCCTTTTTAACTGTAAAAGGTGCCCAAAGTCTGACTCTCTGTACTGGTTGTTGAGAGAGCCATTGATTCACAGGGCCAAGCTGGACATCAGCAGCAGCGTCACCCCCGGCCTGACGGTGGTTTAAAACGCTGTTTAAAACCAAGACCCTGTGCCTGCAGCAGCTGGTGGATGCAGTGGGGCCGGCGCTGCGTGATGCCCTGACCCTGGGCTCTCTTCTGGGCCTGCACTCTGTCCGGGTGGCGGGGAGGCTCCTGGAGCTGTGGCGCCAGAAGCTTTCTGGGAAAGAGAGGAGCCTCCTCATGGACTATGGGAAAAGAAAGGCCAGACCGGACCCTGCAGACCCCTTCCCTGACGTCTTCCTGAGCCCAGGCCTGGGGGAACTCACCGGCCCCCTGCTGGCTATAGCACACTCAGAAAAGCTGACAATACACCTGGTATATGAACTGTGTGAAGACGATCCACAAGGCCGGACTGTGCAACCGCCCCCCCACTGTGTGGTCAAACAGGCTGGGAGCAAATGGAGCCGGCCCACAGTGGAGGATTTTATATAAACCTCCTCTCAAAAAACGGACTGCCGACCTCCAGTGGAGGATTTTACATGGTGCTATTGCCTCCATTGCTTTTCTTTCTGTTCTTAATCCTGCTGTTCTTAACACCTGTCCCTTTTGTTGCCTTCCAGAGACTGAATGTTTTTATAGAGTGTAAGAGGCTCACAAGCTTCTTCTCTCTTTTAACATTGGTTTTTAGTTTTTTTGATGTGGTTTTTACTGAGAGGGTTTTTATCATGGGAGCTGCCTACAAAAAAGAACAAAAAGAGAAGTGGCAGCTCCTTAACTACCTTTCAGGTGAGGCAAAAATGGTCATTTACATTAGCAGAAAAAACAGAGTGGAGAACAGAGAAGGTCAGGAGGCCAAGGCAGTGTGGCTGATAAACATTAGAGCAAGACTCTGGCTAAATTTTAGATTTTATAAACACATTGGAGACTTGGACGCTTTTAAACAGCGCTGGTGTTTTAATGACATAGTTTGTTCAGTTATTGATGAAGAGTTAGTTTTTGCACAAGTTTTTATTAGATAAACTATTTTTTTTTAAACATACTGGGATTTTAATGCATTAGCACTTTGTTGAACAGTTGAACTGTAAAAACTAAATTTATGTAAATAAAGTGTTTTGCAAAAATCAAAATCTCTCCCTCTCTCTCTCTCTTCACTCTCTCTCTCTCCCTCTCTCTCTTCACTCTCTCTCTCTCTTTCTCTCTCTCCCTCCCTCTCTCTCCCTCTCTCTCTCTCTTCACTCTCTCTCTCTCTGATGTGATTCTACTCTTGGATTTGCTGCTTCTCAATAACAAGCCTCGCCTGTTTGATAGAGTTGCAAGGGAAACTTTAAAACAGGAGTTTTGTTGTGTTGCATGGTGCGTCCAAAGGCTTGGTTAAGAAAAAAGACCCACGGTTTAATCTCCAATCTGTAGAGATGATTTCTTAAACTGTCTGCACGGATTTGCAATGGAAATCTGTGCATACAGTTTAAGAAATCCACTGTGTGCTCAGCTCACAAATGTGATAAAGACACAAGAAATCGACTGAGTTATAATAACATGAGCACTACCTTCAGATTAATGTGACAACTATATCACCAGATATTTAAAAAGTCATGGCTATGCTATTTTTCAAATGAAGTACTAAGCCTGTCGTTATGTATTATGTTATTCTGTAGCCAAATCGTGCTGTACATGTTTTTTTTTAAATAACTAACAAAAATACTGTCGTACACTTTTTTGTAGGCAAAAGGCAGAGGAGGTAATAACTGCTGCTGCTGCCATGATGGTACTTTGATTCAGCACCCTGTTCTGTTCCGTGAATTGTTGAGTCTGTCACTGATTGTCAGTGTAGTGTTAAGAAAATATTACAATAAAAAAAAGTCACAATTAAAATACTCTTGTGAGTCAGATAGTTTTGCTCGCGGCGAGCGTTGGCCACCAGTTGCCGACCCAAGTATTGCACCTTGGTATGTGCCTGCGATACAAATGGTGGATTATTACAAAAATAAAGTGACCCTACCGTCAAATTCAGCCTGACCAACTCCAACTATGATGATGGACATGGGAAGCTTGGCACCCTGCAGAGAAATAAAAGAAACACTCAATGAGAAAAAGTTATTTCCTCCGACAAACATTTCCTTTTTTCCAAAAAAAGACATTCTCTACAGATTTCTTTTACACAGAGAGGAAAGACGCTTGTCCACATCAACACTGACCTACAGCACCATTACTGTGTATCAGACATTATAGCAGTTACATGCTCACCCTCACAGATTACATCCACACTAATGTTCTGCACCGCTCTTTAACTAGCAGAATGACCTTTTAAGTGAGACAGGGCCTCCAGAGAGAAAAATTAGCAAGTTCCAGACAGTAAGTCTGAGAAAGAAAGCAAAAACATAGGGAGACCCTTCACTAGAAAATGTTTGTGTCAGCTTCTCTTATCACACATATTTTATGTCTCTGAATCCAATTTCTGTTGCTAGACTTCTCCTCCTTCTACTCCTCTGCTCTTATCTCCACTGAAAGCTGGGCATCAGGCTGGAGAGTAGAGATTAAACTCACTGACATTGCTTACAGAATCCCTTGAGATACTGGGTCAGCAGGTCAGTCATTTCAGTACTTAGCAGTTTATTTAGGATATGATAACTAAAACTAGGAATCACATTCATCTCCAAAATACCCTGCCTGGAAAGGAAACTTCAGTTTGAGAGAAAAAGTGATGCACTGTTGTGCTGACACCTTGATAAAGTCTTGACATGAGGCATTGTGTGGCATGATGACATTTGTGAGCTGGGAGCAGAGGGAGAGGGAGGAGGTGCAATTTTCCACCAGCACAGCAACCTTCCTCAGTCACCCACCCAGCCACTCCCAAGCCCTACCTCAGTTCACATTACACTGCTGTTATTTACTCCAAACTATGCACATTTACTTTCTTTAAACAAAGGCAAGAACAAAATAAATAAACTGAAAATAATGTTTCTGAAACATTTATGGCTGGGGAGTAGTGTCATAGAACTGTATAATGACTTTCAATGGAAATCATTTTTCATAAAATGAAATGCTCATAAACTAAAAGTTTACTTCCATGACAAACTGTATACTACAAGAAGGCACTGAAGTCCTTAAAGCTACATGCTCATGTTAGCATAAGCAGGAATAACATTCAGCGTGTTCATGTAAGTATGCTAGCATGCTTTTGTTTTCTATTCAGCACTTAACATTGAGTAAAGATGATATTTTTACAAAGCACTTTTAACAAACAGTTTTATCTTGTGCACCGGTTAAATGTATCGTTTCAAATCAGGCAACCTCTTTAGCCACAGGGATGGGAACACTTCCTGTCGACACCACCTCAGCCTGCAGTACATCAATGCGATTATCAGTGTTCAACACACCTCCTGTCAGTGCCTGTCCTCCCACGCACACACACACATATACACTCAAACTCACAACTTATACATGCGTCTGTGTGTCGCCAAAGACAAACGCACACACCTCAGAACATCAAATGCCACCATAAATATCCTGACTGTGCACCATGCCCCACTTTAACCGTCATCCTGTCAACTCTGACTGACAACCCGACATCCAAGTCTAATGGGACAACAAAACAAAACGTCAATCAACACGCATGACTCCACCAGCTCACTGTGGATGTTCTCTCTTCAAATCAAACAGCATGCACGCTCGCGGTGATGTGGCTGTGTTCTTGTTCCATATGCAGGGCACACAAACCAGCAATTTATGGATAGGTGACTGCTCTTTCATGGTAGGGGTCACCTGAGTCATTTGACCTTCTGTCATCATCGGCCCTCACAGCTCAGCTCAGAGAAAAGCTTAAAGCAGTAGACTGAAAACACTACCAGCTACAGTACTGAGTGCAGATAATAACTGTAGCCTTACATTAAGATGAGTCTAGTTTCGTTAAATCGTTTATTTGAATCAGGGACAGTACGAAAAAAAACATTAGTCTCAGAAGAGAAGAGATGCTTTGTACCAGATTAAGCTAGCTAGCTAATTTCCATCTGTTGTCCCTGGGCAGATGATGGCAACAGCAAAATACAAATCAACCAGTCACACATATACACACACACACACACACACACACACACACACACACACACACTGGATAGATCAGCATCTACCACATACAGCTTGCTCTTAATGAAACTAGCAGACTGAACTGTACTGAGGAAGTAAATGAGTGGTACCTACTCTCAATTTATCCCTTCAATGTTTTATTAGTGGCCCGTCCAGAAAAGGATAAAAGGCCTCTGTTATAAACAGTGACATGTAAGACTACTCTTGCATGTTTAGTTGATCTTAAAATAGGCCTTTAGTATTTGCACATCACGTCACTCAACTTCTGCTACTTGACTTCAGGGAGTAAGGATCATTATGAAATAAGAGGAGCACGCTGAGATAACTACATAATTAGACATTTTGAGTGATCTATTCCTAATTCCTTTTTCCTGTTAGGGGTGGTGGGGGGTCATACGTTATACAAGTCAAGTAACAAGTTAATTTGTATCATTTTCAAATAAGCAATGCCTTACTTTAAAATCTATTCCCTCTTCCTTTTCTACAAAAAAAAAAAAGAGAGAAAATCATGCATTGTCACTTTTTAAGTTTGAATGATATGGTTGTGTCCGTATGCATGTGTAGCTCAGACTGAGCAACATTCTAGCTGTAAAGTAACCTATCTGAGCCTGTGTGATTGTATTCTCATACAGACGTTATCTGTATCCTAGCCATGCAGGAAAGTGATCAATTCTGCTCGAGTTGTGCCAAGACAACAAGTGCTGCTGGTCACTTGTTGTCTTGAATTAAGGTTTATTTACACTACAAGTTCTACTAAACATGTATTACCGTTTTCATTGTTTGGATAACTTTGACAACTTTGGTAGACAAGCTGATAGAAAGTGGAGCCACCAGCTCTGTGTGCTGTCCATGAGACCCTTGCAAAGTATGACTTGCTCTATTCTGTCCTTGGCTTTCGCTGGTGTTCTTACCCAACCAACCAACAAAGGCTACAACAAGTGCTGGCCAATTAGAGACAGAGTAAGGGGGGGTCATACCTTTGCCATGCCAGGATAAAAATATTGCTGCCTACTGTAGAATAGTTTGAATCAGACGTGAATTAGAGTTGAGTATACACTATGGAGACTAAAAATAAGTGGGTGTTAGCCGTATTCCTGTGTATATCATTTACTAGTACACAGCTGGATATAATCCTTCAGTGTTTCTGAGGACTTGGTGATGCTCAAATGCATTCAGACGCACATTGAGTTCATTCATGATTATCTTGTTTTTTATTAGTCCTCTGAATTAGAATTTTCTCAGATTTGTATTGCAATGTTATTTTAAAGATTTTTTTTTTGGCTTTTTGTGCCTTTATTGTAGAGATAGGACAGTGGATAGAGTTGGAAAACAGGGAGAGAGAGAGTGAGTAATGACATGTGGGTAAGGAGCCACAGGTTGGATTCAAACCTGGGCTGCCCGCTTGGAGGACTACAGCCTCCATACATGGGCCGCGCACACTAACCACTGCGCCACCAGCGCCCCTGCAATGTTATTTTATATTAATTTAATCTAGAAAGATATTTAACACACCTACCTCAATCAAGAAATATAAAATATATTTATATATATATTTAAATATAACATAATTTAACAGAAAATGAAAACAATTTTATCTACTAAAAACTTGGAGCAACATGTGTGAATAATGTATATAATATTTTACTTCTATCACAAAGCTTTCCACTTACATTTAATTTTCCTGCTAATTATTGGATCAGAAAACAAACAAAAAGAAGCCTCATCTCAGCGGGGATAACAATCTTCATTGGACAGTATTTGGCAGTTATTGGACAGTAGTCATTGTACAAAGAACGATTGTGGTGCTTTGAAGAATGTGTCATATTTAATAGCACTGATCTGGGCTTTGCTGAAGGTGACTTAGTATCGTTTTTATAAATAAGACAATGTGACCACAGTTTAAAGCATAGTTTCTAATAAGCAAATATAAACCAACAGACTGTTCAAAGAACCTTAACCTAGACATCAATTGACAAATCATGACTCAGCATGCATAACTAAATGAGGCATACCTGTCAAGGTTTGGATTTCTTCACTTTATGAAGCTCTATTCTGAGGGATGTCATTAGAGTGAGAGGCAGCAGGCTGGAGATTGGCGGTAAGGCTAACCCTAAAGAAAACAGTTATTTTTTATTTGTTTTGAGGCAAAGGTGTACGCCATTTTTTTGGGGTCGTTATACTCCTTATCCTTGAGGTTAAGTACAATAAGGTGCTAATTTTGAAAGGTTACAAGACCATTAACCCTTGCAAACGTTAGCTTATTTGAAGTAGCATAGCATGTTTTAATATTTAACCCCTCGTTTATGTTTTTTTTTTTTTTTATCCAAAAGAAGAATGTATTATTAACCACCAGGCCAAATTTCAGCAACGAAAAAAAATTATAAGTTTATCAAATTAAGCCTCAAAATCATGAGAAATGTAGCTGTTCTCTCTCCTCTGGGATGCTGTGGGCGTGTCCAGGGAATGCGCTCGCTTCACAACTGTCAAAAATCTAAATGACCTGACAAAGGAGGCCTCCGCTAACTCCTCCATCAGTACCTTGGAACTAAAGAACTGCTGGATGTTATAGTGATTAGCAAGTTTCAAGCACTCCGATACAACACATACATTGCTTTTTATTTATATACCACACAGAACATAACTTGTAGAGAAAGCTGACCTTTTAGCAGGGAATTGCAACTTCAGCCTCAGTTTTTTTTGTACAAGGTCATATAGCTATATAGCATCTAAAAGCCTATTTCAACTGGGTTGCTGTTTTGTGGGCTGTCTGCAGGAAAAGGCAGTCAAGGGAAGCTTTTTCAGATAATTTATAGAGGCTTCATTAAAAACAACATCTACTAATGACACTTGTGATTTTTGGCTGACTTAATTGGCTTAAAAGCGTAATGTGTCCTTGAAGATTGTTAAGCAATTAGCCAATATGCCAAACTTGTTTTTACTTTAAAGAAAGTTATTTTTGCAGACATAACAGGATGATGACATACATAAATCTGTTACTATTGAAGTTTGGATTGAACAAGGTCTCCATAAAGCAATGGGCTGAGTGACTGGTTCTAGTCATGGAGAGGACTATATGCTTGAATGTTCTGTTTATAAAGAGGTGTACATGCAGGAAAAGTGGCTGTGTAGTGACGTACTTTTGGAGGAACTGAAACCCAAAGCACTGACAGATAACAAGAAGGAGACCAGAAATGAAATAAATCAAAAGCAGCTTTAGACTCAATGTGATGACAGAGAGGTTTAGATCCTTGGGAGGGGAAAAAGACTAAAAGAGACAGATGAAGTCTTTGTATTTCAGAACGAGGGGGGTCTAATGGCTCTACAGAGAGAAAAAGAGATCGAGGCAGTAGAAGAGGCGTGGGTGATTGACGGGTGTTTTTGTGTTTTTAGCTGATGCTGGTGTGACTGATAACCCCCATTGTTCCACCACAGGGCTCAATATTGCTGACAACACAGGGGACCGACACTTTCAAATTGTCCTGCCATACTGACCAAAACACACAAGCACACAATAACCTACAAACCCACTCCAGATGTTCCAGATGTTGTGCGGACTCTTAATTCTTAGGTTTTCCTGAAGCTTCCTTCCAGCGTGAATAAGTGTGATCAAATAAGTCTAATTTAACCTCAGCAGTGTGTCCTCCTTTGCCCAGGATCCACGTAGAGTAAAGGGGAAGCAGCAAGCATCAGTGGAGAGTTGGAGTGGAGGCAGTGAGATACAGCAGCAGGCAAGATCTTAAAAGGAAGGTGTGGCTGTCCTAATGTTTTGATTAACAGTCGCAAATTCCCTTTAAATCCAGTCTGCTGGGTGTTCTGTGCCCCGCAGCACGCTTGAGGAACAGAAGGGGAGAGAGAGACCGAAGAGTCGGAAAGGGAAGAAAGTGAGCCACCTGCCATTTAGAGCTGGGAGAAGAAAAGAGTTAAGACACATTTATGGGAAAGCTCAGAAGAATAATGTACAATGTTGTGATTACTGAGGCAGTCATCATTCATCTTTAAAAAAAAACTTTTTAAAGCAATGTGAGTGTATTTTAAGTAAAAAAGGGAATACATTTGTACTGTAGGGGCACAAGAGGAATCATTCACAGCATTTGTTTTTATCAGAACCAAAACAGTACCTGGGAGTTGAGTATTGCTGTGCAATTAAATAGCAAATTCATCCTTATTGCAACATGAACATTCTAATAAACACATCGCAAAAGTCTATATTTATATCATTAGACTAGAACACTATTCTACGTGTATGCAATGCTTTCTCAATCAGCATGCATACATTTTACCCGTTGAGGTTGGATGCCTGATCATTAAGTTTAAACTCTCACAATATTTGAATGCAGTCAGATGAAGCTCAAGCTAGCTCTCAGCTTCCCCTTAGATAAGTTGGTGCGATTAGCGCTGAAAAAAAACAAGACAAAATCCAGCAGTCTGTTAGCTTAGCTTGTCATAAAGTTAGCAAACAGGGTATAAACACCCAGCCTTCTTCCGTCCACTAAATACTCTGAAGAAAAAGAAAAGTAGTGGTTTCATGAGAGGAGAGAAAGAAAACCAGCAGGTACTGTGATGCCTTTGGACTGAGCCCAGCTGGCTTCTCACAGCACAATGAATTAATACTGATGCCTGTAAACGAGCTACAAAAGCAAATCAGACCATTTGCAGGAAGTGTGATTATTTCTCACATTTTCCACAAAAAGGCCTCCAGTGAGTGAGCAGGAGGATGTTATTAGAGAGCAACACTTATACAGGATAAGATCGCCTCGCAAAGGGGTCGTGAGAAACAAACACAAAGTGAAATCTCCTTATAGTATATTTTAAATTGTCAATAACTTCAATAACAGAGACATGTCAAACAAACTTAAACAAAGCCTTGTATAGTCTTGTATACCCTTTTTCATCCTTACATTTACAATGGCCTCTTTCGTCTGGGCCATGTCTGAAATGACACCGTCTGTGATGATGAGGAGCACAAAGTACTGAGAGCCGTCCTGCACTGCAGCTGCGTACCTGCACAAACACACAGGCACACAACACAGAGAGACACAACAGGATCGTGAATAATCTCTTTTATACCAGAACAAATCTGATGTGTTATCTTGCACACATCTCACCACATACAAAACCCAATTGAATGGCTTTTTGTCATTGCTGTACTTCAGATAACACTCATTAAAATACCTCAAACATAGACACTCATAAATCAGTCCAAACAAACCATTTCAACACAACGCTGCCCTGCTCTGTTATTACAAATCATCACCTTTGTTACAGTCTCTTCCTACTTGAGTTATTCTATTCACATGTTGAATATCAATCCTGGTAGTGGATTCTCACAGCTGCAGCACCCAGTGTAAAAAGCGTTTTAACTAAATGCCATTTCTAATTACAACATTGAATCGTGCAATCAGATGAAGAATTGTTTGAAAATGGTGAGATCACTGATAGGGGAGGAAAGCAGTGAGGGTGTGGGATGGAGGTCTAATCTAAAAAGATCATGTCAGCGTTTTCCCTCTTTTAGGTGCTTTTAAATATCTGTTGTATGTCATTATATGTCAACAGCTACTTAATCTTTTATCAGCTTTTTCATTGGCTACATTAGCCCGTTGTTTGATAACTGTCTATCAATCTAAACTCATAGTTAGACATATTACATAAAGTTTTTTTCTAGCAGAAAATGATGAGAAACAACAATCACAAACTACCTCATGCTCAATTTGCACATATTACACTCGTTTTTTTTGCACAGTTTAAATTTTCTATTTGCACTCTACTGCCTTCAAATTGCCTTATTTTTTTGTATATTTTGTATATTTGTATATATTATTATTGTTTTTATTAATATTATTATTTGGCTATGTTTAATTTTAATATTTTATTGTTGGCATTCATTGTGGACACGCAAAGAAAGAATGTCATTGTACAGGGAAACATGTTTCCTACTGTGCACATGACAATAAACATTTTGAATCTTTGAAATACAAAGAGAACATCTGTGAGGTTTTCTACATTTTTGTCATTGTATTTGTATAATTCCAATGGAAATGTTGAAAAATGAAAAAATCACCATGGACAACAGACACATACGTATCTTTAACCAAAGCGCACATTTTTGTCATCGTTATTTTTCTAATGAGAGTAAAGAAAGCAGAGAGCTATTCACCATCTGCATTGTTCACTCACCTGGCTACATGGTTCACCACAGGAGCGAAGTTGGTCGGCCCGTACAGCTGCACTGTCTTCAGACTTTGGTGGTAAGCCTCAAGAATGCCCTCGATACCATTACAGTAGGGATTTTCAATGTTTCCATTCTGAAAAGGAGAGAAATACGAAAAACTATTTCATAGACTTGAACGTGAAAACATTGAGTCATTAAAAATACTCCAACCTCATTTTTTTTTTGTAACTAGGAATAAACAGAATAAAACACAGGAGTCATTTTGGAAAATGAAACAAGAATTTAATAAGAAGTTTTTTTGAGTTGATTAATATAATGTGTGATAGAGAGAGGTCGTCTTTACCAATGGAAACTCATGTGATACATGTCCATCAGGGGGCAGTTTGGCTCCAAAGCCCAGAGCGGGGAACATCTTGTCGCTGTCGTAGTCCTGGATGATCTCCCCCACAGCCTTCAGGGCCATGGCGTAGGCGTTCAGCTGGTAGGGGTTCATATAGTGCAGAGAGGTGGACTGTGAGGGGTTACCTGTGGAAAATCAATATTGAGTTCATTATGGGGGTTCAAAACCTTTTGGAAAGTTTTTTGCAATTACATGACATGAAAACAATGATGTATTTTGCAGCCATGGATGACAATTAACATGATTCCTGCCGGGGAAAAGCTTCCAGCCCTCAGAGATGATAGATCATTAGTAGAAACCGTGGGAGGGGAAACCATTGTGAGAATACCTCCAAATGACAAATGGATCAAGCATTCAGAATTATTGCTTGTTAATTACTGTGACCTTCACACATTTCTTCATGTACTAACACATCGTGAAGCCATTTAGTACTGGCAACTGAGACACTCGTGGCCAATAGAAAAAATAAAACATTTCACACACTGGGACTGCAGGTCACTTTCCCACCAATTGGATTAGTTTAAACTTCTATTGCTGACATCCTGGGTCTGGCTGTTCAAAAGGTTTTATCTCCCACCCCCTGGATTAATTTAGTATTTCTGATTCTGATTCAAAGAAAAACTGGATTGCATGTGCTTTATTCAGATAAAGACCTTTTAAGGATTACTAAATCTGGATCAACAGTGGTCTAAATTGGACTTTCTACCACACACATTTTCCTCATTGGGGCATTATAATTCATCAAAATGTAAAAGAGCCTGACTTTTTTTTTTTTTAATTCATTCAGCAATTCAAGTGAAAAAAAATGTAAACACAAATAAGTATCAGTATTAGTATTGTTTAAATTTAGCTTTGGGGGCATCAGTGTTATTAGTTTGCGAGCCCCATGTACTGTACAGATACTGAAAGGTGGTAGCCCATGTTCAAATCTGACCTGGCTCCTTTCTAGGGCTGGGCTATTTGGACCTTAATTCATATCGACATTGTTTAGCTGAATGGCGATACTCAATGTATTTATTGAAAAAAAATTCTATATAGACATAAAATCAAATTAATTTGCCCAATGTGTATTATTAACAGTTGGCTGCACAATGTCAACATGGACATGAAAAATGACATAAATATAAACTAGAATAAGTAAACTGGTAGCTCTGCGGAAGCTGCTCTAAGTTGGTTTTATTTGGAGTTCAGAGTGTCACCAAGGTTTAAAATCTCAACACTTTGGCAATAGTTGAGTCCAGTCCTTTTATGTTCCGTTGTTAAATCTGTCATTGACCTCGTGTGTTTCAATAACAAGTGCACTGTAATGTTTGACATGCGTTGAATGTAAAGTGATAACAAGAAGGTCTAACAGAACTGGAAAGACAAATCTAAGCCTGACTGTACCTTGCTAGAGTTGCTAAATTAGTTTGGCAAAAAAATCTATTTAGGAATTGGAAATTCAAACTTCTTCTAACAACTGATTAAAAGCGGAGAGCTTTTCCAGGCGACTTAATCTTTTGGAGCGTTGTGTTCAGGCGTGATTAATGGCGTAAGTAGTGTAATTAGACTTAAGTGTGGCCCTTTCACACTCTGAAAGTCTCCATGTCAGGTTGATGTGTCCCCTATTCATTTTATTTCAGCTGAAACATCTGCTACACAACCTTCATTCAGACTGTATTGACAGAGCATTTAGGAGAAGGTGCTCTCCAGGAAAGAAGATCACTTATAGATGACACTGTGTGTACAGTGTGTGTGTACAGTGTGTGTGTTCGCACTGTCGGCTTGTCTGTGTGTTTGTGTGATTGATTCTTAGATTGGACACGTCACATTTAAAGAGCACTACTATCCATCCCCCGACCCCCAGGCGCACACACACACACACACACACACACACACACACACACACACACACACACACACACACACACACACACACACAAACACACACACACACACACACACACATGCAGGTAGTATCACTCACCATTAGATGCTGTAAAATCGATGGCCACAGTGAAATTGATCTGCGTCCTGGAATGCGGATGAAGAGAAGAAGGAAAAACAACCTCAGAGAAAAGCCAGCATTGACATAAAATGCCCGTCCTTTTTAAATTCCAATGCTCTCACACACATCCACACTTGTTCTCATAGGAGAAAGAAGATACCCAAAATATCAGAACATCACAATTTAACTACAGCAGTTATTTCTTATGATCATACACCTGCAAACAGATCAATATTTATTGTCCCATCCTTGCCTTGTTTCCTCTATCTTAAGGCACAAAATGAAGCCACTCAATTATAAATGATATGTTGTCTGTTTTCACTTCTGTTTATCAGGCTTTCACTACGAACCAGGAGGAGTGTTAGGTGGTGCTGAGAAGCCTTTGAGACTCCGAGCAGGGTAAAAAGAAATTAGACTGATGGAGTTCTAAAGAGCAAATCATAATCCAATTTTCCATGCTGGTAAAGCACCCTCTTCTTCTTGCTAATTTACGACAATGAGACGATGCCTTCAGGGACCCCGCAGCCTCTCATCACGTTCTATATAATAGCCATGAGTATGGGAGGCAAAAGAAAGATGAAGTAATGACATTAATACGCTAAAGATTCACATTAACCTTTACATTTTGGCAGTAAATATGCCACTGCATGACTTTGCTAACCTTAATTAAACTTGATTTTATTCATTCACTAGTACTCTTTGAATGTGTCCTTGCATTTAAAGGCAGGTTTTGCAAAATGAACCTCTGAACTAGAAAACAGGGGGATTTTCTCTTTTTAAGAATGAAAAATGGGATTTCCAGTTTTGCAGCCTTCTCATTTTCTTAGTTTCTCCTTTCCAACGACTGCACAGAAAACATTTTTAAGTTTATCTGTGACGGGAAGAGAAGCAAAAATATCAGTTTTTCTGTACCATTACTGTATTTTGATTTCTACATGAACCAAGTAGGTCAATCATGGTGCAAGTTAATTTACCCCTGTAAGGATTTAAAGGTGTACAACAGGGCCAAAGAGCTACGTATAAGCACCTACACCTGTAGGGTTTAGTTATCCTAAAAATAAATGCTAAACTGAAACTTCACAACACTGGAAGCAAACAGTTGACATGGACAATCTAAATCTTTGTCCTGTTTGAATACCATTAATTTAACATTTAGAAGACGCCTATGTATGTTAGCTTCATGATGAAGAAAAGAAGAAGATACCATCCCCTGTAGTTAGTTTGTAAAACGGTGGGTATAGCAATGTTGCTGTTTTCGATACAGTACCCCAGCTTTTGAAATTTTACATGTGATGTACTTTTTTTTAATGCTGTAACATGTTTTGGACAGTTTAAATAACACCCTGTGATAGCTCTATCCAATTTCTTCAACAGTAGGAGCTCTACATTTTCTAAAAACAGTTCCCTAACATGTCATTCAATCAGTGCCAGAGGAGTGTTAGGGGCCAGACTGATGACAATGATATTTTGGTTTTGAGGCCACTAAATCTGATGGTGGATCGGCCAAAGCCAGGAACTGTCAGTGAAATCTGTCACACTTGTCAACTCTGCCACAGCCCATAAAACCCTGGACAGCCCCCCCGCTGTGATGGGACAGAGGAGATCAAAGCGCAGCTCAACCTGACTGAAAGGCTCACTTCACCTGAGACTTACTGAATATTCACATGTCAGCCTCCATCTCTAAACCTAAACTGAGGGCGGAGGGTTGCTACGGTTGCTACCCGCAGGCAAAGACAGTTTGGCCTAAGCTAGCTTATTTTAGATTGATATTTTCCAATTTAATGCTACAGAGAGTACCTACTGACAACTTAGAAATCCCTTCTACAGTTCCACATGTGGTGCCACTACATAAAAGATTGGGGAATATAAATATATGCACTTAAAATACAGTTACAGTACACTCCTCAGAAATATCATTCAAAGTCATTTACTGCACTATTTTCTTTTTAAGTTGAACATGTTTCAGTTTTTTAAAGGTCAATGTTTGTAATACTTCCACCTTAATAACAACTTTAATTAATTTTAAATATATCTAGATCATGGATTGCTCATGAAAAGGAATCACTTGCTATAACACTACATTCTTTCAGATTTCTTTGTGTTGTCCGTCTTGGCCAAACACAAAGATAGCCACTAGCTGGTGAACATTCTGTATACCTGTTATCAGCCTAAAACCGGGTTTTCATCTCAGAATTTGGCAAAGAGAAAAATAAGAGAAAAAAACATTGCAAAACAGATATACATTTAACATGTTGCATGCAAAGCACATTACTTTATTTCGAACATTGTTAAATGTCTTTAATGCATAATTGTTGGACAACAGCTTCTTATAAAATATGTTAGCAACACCAACTTTTAATAGTTATATCTTTTCATTTACAGCATGCTTAGCAACACTTGTGCTGCCCGAAATGGCCAAATTATCAAAGGAACCAGGTTTAATACAATGGTGAGCTCATCCAAAATGGTTATATGTGACTCATTTAAGCATGACATTTTTTAATAGCCCCACCACTCTCCCCCCTCTTATCCATTTAAACACATATTTCTCCTGAACTGATATATAATGAGTTCAACACTTCAGAACAAAGTTTTCTTTGTAGAAACAGAATGTGCCGTCATTAAGAAGCAAAGAGGCCATTTCAGGCTTTTGTTTTAAAACATGCAGGAAGTCATTGCCACTCACCCTCCTTTGATGTAATCTAAAAACGTGAACTCTGACTCCACTGAGAACGAGAGCAGGGTCACCTACAATTAAAGACAAGGAGAAACATTCCATTAAACATGGTGGTAATGATGTTTTGCCCGTAAACTCAAAAAACCCTTCACATCTCGACTTGTTTTCAGCTCTCGACAATCACTCTGGTCAAAGACGTGAGCCGTCTGGTCTGCAATGATTGATTCATTTACATGGCCAGAGGAATCGTCTGACAAGAGGACGGGATGCATTTGTATGCATTACCTGCACATACCCACACTGCGGAGTAAGCTGTGTGAAAACCGGTGTCTGAATTGGTCACTGGTGTTGCCCACTCTGATCTCTCAGATGTGACTTTCTTTAGAGTTTGTAACTTCATCTTTCATTTTGTTCCATTTCCATATTTACCTGACATCAAAAGTATAAATCCTATACAATGAACCACAGTACCATGTACTATACTTAATCATGCACAGTGTTTGTGATATACAGACAATGCTCAACTGTTAAATAAGAACATTAATTGGGACATCTACTTTTTCTCACAACAAAGAGCGCACAGGTTGGCATCTTTTTCCAAGGCGTCAACACTTGCACAATAATTAATGAAGGAATCCAGTAATAGAAGAGAAGTAGGTGTGGAGCAGAAAAGAGGCACAACGCCAATCTTGGTTTGCTGCTGTAGATTTACTCACTGTTCCAGAGTTGACATATTTCTTCTTCTTCATTTTCTTCTTCGTATTAATCACCTAAAAAATAAACAAAAAGACATGTGATCTTGAATGGGTCTATTTTGGCCGTACAGTTTATCTCAAAATGCCTGCAGGAGTTAATATTTTAGCATTATATTAATACAAAATAAAAAGGTACACATACACAAATGACATATTTGTATGGTGAAGTAATACCCAATATTTTTCTCTCGGAATGGTTACAAAATATGACAATGATCTAGTATAAATTTAAATAAAGCAAAGCTGTGTAAACTCATTTTAAAATAATTGCAACCAAATGTCTTAAGAAATCTTCTCTTCTGCCGAGAACAGAAACATAAACTCTGGCACAACAAGTCAACCGTTTATGCATCCAAGCAAAACACTGCATAAGTAGCAAATAATTATAATGCTGCCTGTTATGTCTTGTCTGCTGGATTTGGCAGGCTATTATGTATTTTTCATTTCCATTGCTTTTCCCAACTCCTTTTAAATGTCTCTCCCCAGATTCAAGCTCAGTAGGCAAGGAAATGACCTAAGAGTGTCTTTAAGAATGAAATAACTGCTTTTACTACATGTATTGTCCGTTCTAATTGGATACAGCAAATGTAATGAATGCATCTATGTGGGTGGCAAGAATAGGGATACATGTAATCACATAAGGTTTGTGGGTAGGTTGAACAACTTGTTTGTCTTTATGACTGATAGTGGTGAGAAGGTGTTTGTGTTTGTATAAAGCAACAGGTGGGAAACGGAGCTCGTGTAAGATTACTTATACAGTAGTTAATATATAACTTCATCTCAGTATGTCATACACATCAATCATGCTTTCACAGGACACAATATTGGAAATTTAGATACAAAGTCAGAGTTTTCAGAATTGACGGGTGAGACAGGCTTAATCGGCAAGACCTACATTTACTTTGCTAATACCAGTGCCGGAACAAAGAGAGAAACGTCAATCCGGTGACCAAAGACGTCTCAGCTCATTACCTCGTTTCTCTATGGCTGCTAGGCATGAAAGTGGCAGCCCCCTCATTTAACATGAAGGGATGGCAATTTGTCTGACACACTGAACAATCTGCTGATGCAAAAGTGAAAGCGCCTTTCAGTCCCACTGGGAGGTAGAGAGGAATCAAGAGTCGTGTATAATGAAGCCGACATCCAAACGACAGGTATTTGTCCTTCAGCTGAAGGCCACCAAACCACATGAAGCATGAAGGTATTGACATGTCCTACTTTAAGGTAAGACTTTTTTTAAAGACATCCATCCTATTGAATTAACACAATGAATTAGCTTCTGTACAAACAAGAGGAGTGATTTCATTCTAAAAGACACTCTTCGGTCATTTCCAGTCTTTGCCTATATTGAGCTTGAATTCTGGGGAGAGACATTTAAATGAGTTGTGTTTGTAATTTGCATACAGAGCTGTATTGTATGCTATTAAGACACAGTAAGGTATCCCTTGAGAAGTATTGAGAAATAGCTATGATCATTCTAAATCCCTGGGTTGTTCTATTAATCCTGTTGTATTTCACGCTGCTGCTAATAGCTTTGTTTCTATGTGTGTCAGCATCCAGGTGATTATTGTAGAATAATAAATCTAGAACTTTGAAAAAGAAGACCATATAAAGTAGAAGGAATATAAAATTGGATTTATAACTGCTTGGTGGGTGAAACATGCCCAAAAGCTATTCCATACAAATGCCCTTAAAAGCAATGAATAAAGACTGCGGATTCACTTTATTTCATTTTTTTTTTCAACCCTTTCGTGCAGGAGAAGAAGATGGAAAACAGTGCAACGCTGATATAGGAGATGGAAATGTCACTCCTGTCTGAAATGGAAACCAAGATCTTTCGATGTAGAGGGATCCAGATCACGGGAGTCAACTGACACATTCAAAACATTGGAATTACCCACCTCGTATACATTGAACTGGCTTTGCCCTCGAGCTAGCTCTCGGTAGCTGGTTGTGAAATCCCCAATGAAGTCGTGGCTGGGAGACAGAATAAAAAAGAGAGCAACACTGAAGTAAAAAAAACAAAAATACATCAGACACAAATATCAGGCCAACATAGCATATGCTTCCATTTCTATTTTATTTAATAGAAGTTGGGTAGTTCTTGAAATAGATATTGAATTGCAGGTGGATGCTTAATCAATGCAGTACCAGTAGTGTCATGTCTCACAGTCATTCTCACCTGCCGTCCCTGTCCCAATCATACACCTCCACCTTGATTGTTCTGGAAATCAAATCAGAAGAGCACACAGTTAGGGTTCAAGTAGTATGATAGTCGGCTAACAGTTGTACCCAGAGGCAGGCAACTGCTTGGGGCCCCAGGCCAGTAGGGGACCCCCCAACGGCTGACAAACTTTAAACCAAAGCATTGCTTCAAAATGTGCAAATTTTGCAACGACAGTAGGAAACCTGCCTAACCGGGCCCCATCTGACAGCACTCACTCTCAATGCCCTGCTAAGCGTCGCAGCATTATTCCTGTGAACAACCAACATTTCTCAATGAAGGAAAATTAAGAGGAGATATCCTTCTGGGGGTGGGGAAAAAAGGAAAATAATAAACACGACAGAACCTAGAATTGCCCCTTCTTATACCACCTGGTCTTCTCAGTGGGAGTATGTGTATTTTCCCTCAGCCTGATTTTCTCTCTGCCTTTCAGGATTCAAACAGCGTCTCACATGAGGTCACCCCTCATGAAGGAAAGAAACAACACAAACAGTGTCTCCTTTACTTGTGTGAGATTGTTATTATGCACCTTGTTTTTTCAAGTTTGACCTTTTATTTCTTTTACTTAATGTTTATTTGTAAAGGGGCAAGTGTGAAGCGAGTACACCTACATGCCACACACTACTGCATCTTTGAGAGAGCAGCAGACAAGGAAACATTGGGCAGAGGGAATATAGGACCAAGTTGTTTTAACTCAATAGAACTCAATTGAACTGCTTTGAGGACCAAGGGCCTGGTTGTTATTTGAGATCTTGCACTCTATTCAAAGCAGAAAATATACAACGTACTGCCAAGTGTGTGTATCCTTGAAGTCTACAAACATTTTAGTGCATTTCCTTCCCATTTTGGTGAGTAGAGCTTACATTTTGAATTTTGAATCTTAATTTCAACTCAATATTGTCTCTTGTACACTTGCCTTCCTTCGACCACTTACATTTGTTGTGACTTTACTGACACAATTTGTCAATTAGATTTATGATGATGTCTTTTTGCTTGCAAGTCCTCGTCCTCTCTCTCTCTCCTCTCTAGAAAAAATATTGAGTGATAGAGCTACTAGTTATTAAAATTTCCATAAGGTACACAAGGTTGCTGTCCTTAGAGAAAGAAATGAATGGAGGATATTTCCATTCTTGGAGCATTTATTCAACATGTGAGGCCAGAGCATAAAGGGTATATAGTTCAAGTGCTGTCATTTCATCTCTCCACCACGTCATCAATGATGCTTTTGTCACTTATAAGGTCAGGTGATAACAGGTGTTATCCTCTTACATACCAACTCTTGAAACCCTGGATGTGAATCAGGCTCATCATCATTATTGATTGGTTTTGAGGATGCTTATTCAATTAAATCTTTCAGAGTGTTTTTCAGTTTGGTGCGTTTATGACTAAGTGGATATGTTCAAAACAGGAAATCTCAAAAGAACCTTTGCTATTTTTAAACATCTGCACCTGTATTCGTTGATATCATTAAAAAATGAAGTGTTTAATGTGTTTGGAAATGGGCTAAACTTTAAGGGACCTCGAATGAAATGAACATGGATTGTCAGCATGGCCCCTGAAAAACTTTTGTATGAACTGCATTTGAGGTAACTTTAAAATGTGTAAAAGATCCCACATAAAAACAGTCTGATGACATTTTACAAAAAACTCAGCAGAAGCACGTCCCTGCAGAGTGAAAAAATAAAAAACACAACTTTTTCGGCACCCTATTCTCGATTCACATTGATCTCATCCCCATTGCTCCCCTCTCCTCCCTCTCTCCCCCACTTCATCTTACATGAGAACTGACACCAGTCCAGATCTAAAGAAAAAAAGAAGCAAGCTGCACATCAGAGACTTTCTCCTGTCACTGAGGGATTGAAAGATTCCTGAAATAAGCCCAACTTCCTCCATGCCACCTGGCCCCCGTCGCTCTGTGATGACAGTTTGTTCTTTCCAGGTAATTTTCAAGGCTGTGGGGTAGAGTAAACGTGCTTTTTACCCAGGTGGTAAAAACATGATGCATCTTTTTTCCAGCATTGGAAAACAGAAGGGTAAATGTAGAAGTTAGAAAGAAAAACAGACACAGAGTTAAAAAGACATATCCCCTCCCTGATCTGTCTTTACGTAGAGTTTAATGTAGGGAAGCTATATGCTATACCACTCAAATGAAAGTACCAGGAACTGCAGTCACTGGCTTAAACATTTTTAATCTTAAATTACAGCTGCATCAAAAGGCTCACATACTTAGATCCTTGAGGGGCTCCTTGAGCTCACATAACAAAAGACACTCCAAAACTAATCAGCCACAGATATCTCCTGCTACTATTCTAAGGTGTTTTTAATGAACATGACTCATCTTTAATAATGGAGGTGCATATAATTGAGAAGAAAAAGGAGATCTGACACAACTATTCTTAAACTGTAATTAGTCTGTGATCCCCATGTGAAGGATGGAAATAGACTGTTTGAGTCATCTGGGAAATCGTGTGAGTGACAGAGATTTTTTCAATCATTATCAGCAGCATAAGACATATATGGTATATACACCTGGGTGTTCTGAGAGTGTGATGGATGTATGCAGGAATTTCCTCACACCTCAGTTGTTGAGCAGACTTGCACGACTACTTCGAAGCACCTTCCATTTCCCTCCTCTCCACACTCCTTCATCCTCTTCTCCTTCACTGACTCGTCTGGAAACAGGCTCTTTGACACATTGAATTTCTGTTTCTCCTGTTTCAAGTACTCTTGTCTTTGCTTCCTGTTATCTGTTATTTTCCCCTCCTTAATTCCTCCTTCTGTCTTCCTCTCCTCTCCTTTACCCTTCCTTTGTCTCTTCAAATCACATAAAGGACAGTGTGAGTCTAATCAGAAGGCCCCACTATCACCAGTCAAGTTTGAGTCTGTGTTTTCATCCTTGTCTGTGTGTTTTCAAGATATTTAAAAGGTTACCAACTGGTTTGACTAAGATGTAGTAGACAGACAAACAGTCTTGTGAAATAACAAGCAACACTTTCCCTTCTGTTGATTGTGTGTTGGGCTAAGCATGTTATGAATCTGAATAAATAAATTATGCATTTTCTCTATTTACACAAGTTTATACCCATCACGTGGTCTTTAAAGGACCTGCATATATTTATTGTAACCATACAATCCAAGACCACTTGCCTTCTCTTGTTTTCAACTTCTTAGGCTATTTATTCTAAAACGGTTTGGGGGAAATTTAACCTGCAAGATAACAAGATTTATGTTAAGATTTAAAAATCAAAGAATTGTGCAGACAGTGTACATCAAATTCTGCAACCCCGCCACCAAAAATCAACAACTGTGCATGCAAGCGTATACATCATTTCATAATTTTTCTGTGAATTGGAGACATTCTAACCTTGCTTTAGTTCTTATGGAGGAGCAAAGGAAGACGTTCAGCTAACAGTTTTAACAGCACAAAAGTTATCTAGTCAAGACAAAAATGCTTTTGTGCTTATTCAATTTTATCACAATACTTGGATGCCAATTTGATTCATATTGTGATTCTGAAGTAATGCAATACAACAAGTATTGTGATTCGATACGTTTGATTATTGTGTTTCCTTTATGGAAACAAAAATGAAAGAAAGAAAGCAGAATAGCATTAGTTATATTTTAAAAAACAATAAAAATCACGTGTCAGTCAGTAGGCCTAAGTCTTTGCTTTTTTTAATCATCTATCACACACTCATTTGCAACTCATTTGTTATCTTTGTTTCCTTGGTCAACCAGTCCCATCCAATCTAGTATATGATTTGTTGCCTGGAGCAGCGACATTCAGCACCTTACTGAACAGAACAGACTGAGATGTTTCAGTATTAGCTCCTGGAGCGGCTGAATAAACACAAACACGCTGAAAAGAGACGCTGAGTGACACACTGTTGATTTCCCTCTCTTGTCATTGGGAACAGGTATGCAAAAAAAAAAAACAGATTTGTGAAGAATGCGAGCTAACAGCAGCTAACGCTAGCGGACTAAAGCTAGTGGATGGGCTATCGCTAGCAGGATAACATTGATTAATGATCACCAGCAGCCTTCTGCTACAAGCACATTCACTAACCTGAAACAAATAGGCTACCTATGGTTCACTGGATCCAAACACTAAGATCCACTTTTATAGGATGGCGTCTGATGTTTAGAAGTCTTTCTTTAAAATAACTGAAACATAATTATGTATGCTAATGAGCTAATTAGCTCGCTATCCTACTTATTTTTTTATTGTCCAATAAAGAAATCCAGATTCTTTATTGAATGGATTTCTTACCCACCCCTTCTATCTGAGGAGGAGTTAGAAGTTGACTAAACACAAGACTTTCTTTAGAGTGGTGTTGATGTTCTGTGACTTATTTGACCTTACTTGGATAAGGGACTCAACATACAATGTGTTATTGGACACACTTAAGTTACACAAGTTAACCAACCTTTGTATGTAACTGGACTAGCCTTGTGTTACTTACGTTAACTCTGACTGTTTCATAATGATAACCTCTTTTGTCAGTAACTTCATTGCAACGGCCCCCCCGCCCCCTCTTGAAGGTCAAGTTAATAATAAAAAATATATATTTGATTTTTTTTTTGTTGATCTTATTTTGGGGCTTTTTGTGCCTTCATTGTAGAGATAAAGTGGATAGAGTCGGTAATCAGGGAAATAATTCATTTAAGGATACCTTTCCGATAGAACAGGACGGCATGAACACCAAGATTCCTTCAAGTGTTTGTGTTGGTGTCCGTCTGCCTGCACCTCCCCTTTGGGGAAACACTGATTGCAATTGACCTATTCTGTTGTTGAACATGTGTTTATATGAGCACGTGTTCATGGACCATGCCTTTTCAACAACCCTTTACACCAAGACCAGATAAAACAGCTCGGTTTCATAATCGTCCTAGTGCTTGTTGACAAAGGATACTTGACGGTCACAAGGGGATGTTAAGCTATTCCATCTACTAAGTAAACTAGCTTAGAAAGATATAAAGGTTTGATTTAAAGGAAATAAATAGACAAGTTTTTGTAGTTCACTGTTTCCCACATATACTGCAAGTATAATGAATACTAAAAGAGTTAAAAGCTTATCTTACATCTAAAACCAAAGTAAATGGCACTGCATACCAGAAGAGGTGAAAAAAGATCCGGCACTATTTCTCAGATGCCGCGTGCTTATTAGTCTGGTTTAAAAAAAAGAAAGTAATGGAGTCGACTGGAAGCATATGTTGTCTCTTTTAGCACAGACATGGCGTATTCCTCCCTTTGGTCCTTTAGAGGTGTCAGTTAGGAGAGCGGAGTGCTCCCTTTGGAAATGCCCTTTGCTGAACTCACTCCAACTTCTCTTTTTGCCCTGTGGTGCATCTAACGAGAGGAACATGTCCAAACTAAAGCACTGATCTAATTAAAGCAAAGTATATCAGCAGTAGGTCATCCACTGACACACTTGAGCAAACTCATGCTCTTAACAGCTAGAGGTGCTTGAATGCCCTCTCCAACATCTGCTGGACTGGAGAGAGAGTAGGTGCCAGTACAGATCACAGCCTCTTCTTCCAGATACAATACAAGTAAATATAGCAGTGGTCCTCATACAACCCTCTTCTTCTTCCTGGTTAATATTAATGAATACAAATGGCCATCATTAGGACCATTTTCAAAATCAATACTTGATTTGCTTGATAGCTTAAAGTGGTCTTAATACAGCCTGTTTACAACTGAAATGGCTCAATTATTTAATACACTTTCCATAGCAAGCAAGGCATTGGCGGATTTTCTATGAATTTAATACAATGTGCAATGAAAGACAGCTAATGGTTGTTGATGGATCATTAAAAAATGGAATGGTTGTGTTTGTAAAGATTTACAATGTGCTAGCCATCTAAGTCCTCATATAATACATAATTTATTACCGTAAAAAAAAATACACACATGAATGAATAACTTGCCAGTATAATACAATACAGTGGATAATCATTCTGAAGAAGGCTTTGGAACACAGCATATGAATTGTATTTCAATTTAAACAAGCTAGTTTAAGCCTTTTAGCTTAAAGACCAGTATGCAAGACATCTACTGAATTAAATCATAAAATAACCTTACAACATCAGAAATTAAGGAAACATGTCAAAGTGCTGGATTCTCTTAATTATTACAATGCAGCAGCCAGTATGTCCTCCTCCTAAATTTCAATTCAGGTGCGGAATGGTTTGTTTTGAAAAGAGACAGTAGGCCGTTTTGACGCACCCTGCACGGCAGTTTTGGACGGCACTCAGTTTGCCAGGCTAACGGCAAATTAAGAGATGTTGCAGCAATGAAACTGGTTCAGATAGAACTAATTCTATCTGTCCTAAAAAGGCCACTGCATTTTTCTGAAAAACTCCATGACCAGAAAGGTGGTAAAACTAGGATGAGTATTGAAGAAGTTTTGAATAATGGAGAGAGCTTAGAACGCAGAAATGATTCATGAAAACCCACAGCTCCCTCCGACCTTTGAGATTGGGCTTCATTACCAATCTGAAACGTTACACGTCAGAGTTACATATTGCTCCTTTAAGCCCAGCCCCCATGCAACATGTTACATACTGTATGTTTGAGTCCAATAGAGACAACATTTGGTTTCAGCCTTGATTCTCTCAGAGTCCTGCAGTGGACCAAAAAAAGAAAAAAAAGAATTATTTATTGGCCGTTTTCCGTCAAATGCCTCAAAACACTGATAGTGTCCTCTAGTTCATGAATATAAATAGTAATGAAACTGTTTAAAATCAGCGTATGGTCTTTTGATAGAAGCTTGGAAGATTATTTAAATTTGAAAGGTTCAAGAGTTATTTCTAAGGGGTCTAAAGAAGTATATCATTTAAACATAGACCTTGCCACTTCCTGCTCACAGAAATACAAACACGCAGAACAAGTTAAGACAGACACTCAAAGTTTATCCTTTCGCCCACACACAGAAATATAACCTGTTTATTTCCACGTCGTGGGGATATTTTGAGAGGTGCTGTATTTCAGGCTGTTTTGGCTTGTCACATTAAATCATACTCTAAGTGTGGGTGTTTGTGATTGTGTGCATGTTAAGATTGAGTAGGATCCATTTAAGAAGCTCAGCCCTGTCCCTCATGTACAGTCAGGTCCTATAGGGTCCTTTATTTAGCTCCTGTGTGATCAGCTGACTCAAACAAGTGCAGTATCTTATCATTTTAGAAACAATCCCTCACATCCACAGGGTTAGATTCTCAGTAATAAGTGTTAATTTGTATTCAAAGAAAAACTTGACAGACACCTTTGACAGAGAGACTGGAAAGAAACAACATGTCACATGAAATACAGTATGTCTCCCAACAAAAACAATCCGTCTGTCAGTCCTTTTTCATCTCCCCTCATTCCTTTTAAATTTGAGGAAGGCAGATAAGGTGGTGCTCAAAGGATATCATATCACCTTTGACACAAATTGTATACATCAATTATCCCAATGGGACATAATTGATTTTAACAGGGAGAATCCACTGAGACCGGCCTCTTTTCCAGGGTAATAAAAGATGGATAAGATACAGTACAGTAATCTACCGTAAATGGTAAATGGACTTGAGCTTATATAGTGCTTTTCTAGTCTTCCGACTACTCAAAGCGCTTTTACACCACATGTCACACCCACCCATTCATACCCTTTCAAACACTGATGGTAGTGGTCGCTATGTAGTATCATCCATCAAAAGTAACTAATCCATTCATACACCACTGAAGCAGCGTGAGCAATTTGGGGCAAAGTGTCTTGCCCAATGACACATCAGACATGTTGCTCAGCTGGGGATCGAACCCTTGACCTACTGGTTGAGAGGCGACGACTCTACCAAGTTTTCTAGAGGTAATATTTGAAGCCCAAGTTATGATATATGTAAATAAATTATAAATGATGGGGACACAAGATCCTTTAAATGTGTTTAAATCAAAAGCAATGCACTCATTCAATATGTCTTTTACTCTGCAGAAATAACAGCATCATAATATAATTTTTTTTGTAATTTTTTTGCACAACAAATTATTTTGCATTGGGTTTTAACACAACTGTATTTGAGCCTTAACATTTTATACTAAGACCTTCTTACTAGTACCACCAAGCGTATGATATGCGGCTACCCAAGACAAGTTTGGCTTTGGTCATTTGTTTAAAAGTAAGGCTGACCTTATATATCTGATGAGAATAGTGTTGATAGCAAAACCACAAGAAGGTCATTTGAGATAAGAGAGGCTCATTGTATCAGCGTCTGCAGGCTTTCTAGCAAAGATGAATACTGGAGGATTTTCTGAGCATACAGACACAGAAATAACAGTAGAAAGAATGGTGAGCAAAACAATGCACCATGTTAAACTGGTATTGATTCCTGCTGGTTAAACGCTCAGACACTCAGGGTGCTGAAAGGCTATCATCAGTGCACAGTTTGTAAGTCGGAGAGATTCTGATGAGAGCCATTAAGGCAGTCGATAGATTGAAAATCTGAAATCGATTAAGGAAGTGGATGTCAATGGAGCCATCATTACTGACTATTAAAGGTGTGTACGTGTAAATATTCCTTCAGAATGTGTGTAATGATGTAGAAATAATGTGAATTAATGGAGCTAAGTGTAGCAGTGAGAGGATAACACAGCAGCTGTAGGAGTCAGGAAGCAAAAACAGGGTGAGGCTTGCTCCTACCTGTCGTAGTCTCCGTTGCAGAGCGCTCGTACTGGGATAGTGAAAGGCTGCCACACTGGATTTAATGTGTTCTTCACCACCTCTGTTTTATGGCAGATAGTAAACCTAGAAGCGGAGGGGAAGGAGGATAGTTAAAGAAAGGTATGTCCAAAAAGAAAAAGATGAATTATTTGCTAAATACAAAGCTAATCGAGAGCTAATGTGCAAAAAAAGGGGGGAAACAAGCTAAACATAAGAGATGGATGTATAAAGACAGTATCATCCCACATTGGCATGAGAGATGCGTTAAATAGGAGTGTGTGGAGATTTGTACACTGCCAGCTATATTGCATCAAAGTCCAGAGAGAATAATTTAATATTTCAGTCTTGCTTTTAACTCTTTCCCCGTGACCACAAGTGTGACATTGATATGCAAATTGCTCTGATATCTGAAATGTTTCGCTGTGCTGAGCCACATAAATTCCACTCAAATACCCCCCCGAACATCCTCCAAAAAGCAACAATGTGTTATCACATTTTCCATTTTTTTTCCCCACCCAAAGCCTTGGATTACTTGTGCTCCACTAAGTGCCTCAAGGCTTTTTTGAAACGTGGTGAATCTTTTAGCCACACAGGCCCCCTAATTTGTAACCCCCCCTCTGGCACCCACAACAGATAGTCCTTGCAAATCTGTGGGGATCCGTTTCCCACCCTGTTATGTATATGAAAGAAAAAAATCCTGAGAAAAGCTAAAGAAGAGCCTAATGAAGCACTTGCCAAAGCTTCTCCAGCTACATGGGGCTGACAGTGCCACGACTGCTCAGCCCCCTCAGGGAGGATCAAGAGCACTCTGAGAGGAAAGCACATGAGGAGATGTGGTGTTGTGTGTGCATCTGTGTGTGAACTGGCTCCAAAAACAAGTGCTTTTTTATTGTTGGAAATGTAGATATGTTTTTTTCTTCTTGCTTTTTACACATTTCAGTAATTGCCTCTCTTTCATATTTGTTCTCCTGGAGTAATTTCTGTAAGGCAGAGTCATGGGAGTTGTAGTTGATCCGTGAACAGGATAATGCTGCTGTGTGCAGCCGTTTAAAGCAGTGTATGCGGCAGTAACCTCTGCAGCTCTCCTCCTATACACTCACCCCCCCCCCCCCCTACAACACTGTATCTCCTCTAGTGTTACTTCTCTTTGCCTCTTTTTTCTTTCCCAGATGATTTCACAAGAATGATCTATTATGCTCCTGTAATCTCTCTGCTATTACATTTAAAAAATAATTTCTCTTCTGTTCCCCAAAAAATGATTTCCAGGCTCTCATAGGGACTATTTTATCCGATTGTTTTTAAAGGCAACCTAATGTGTGACAGTGTTTTCTTGCCATGGACTTCAATAGCACACTATGTAAACTATGTTATAATAATACTAGTCTGAGCCTTAGATACTGCAATGCATCATTCTACAAAATAATGACTTACACCCCCTCCCCCCACCACCACACCCAACCCCAAAACCAGGAGATTCAGGGAAAATGATCACACGAGGAAACACAAACCACAGTGTGTTGCTAGAAGTTGTTTAAAGCTAGACACATATGAGCATTTTGTGGGTTTCCCAATTTCTTTTTTTACACACTGTGAAGGTATACTCAGTATCAGCTGATCCACACCAGTAAGGAAGACTTTGTATTAAAACATCTGTCAGAAACGGTTGCATTGTGGCGGTTACATATGCTACACCTCAGAGGAATATGTGTGTCTCAGGGGGTCTTCCCCTAAACCAGCAGTCCACCAGCAACTGGAGCTCCCTTTTTCAAAACCTCAAAATGACAACATAAACCTTCATCGAGCACTCACGTTCCATCTTCGTTGCTTCTGTAGAAGACCATGAAGGGGTCTGACTTTCCAAAGAAGTCCTTCTTGTCCAGCTTGTTGGCACAGAACTGCATGGTGGCGCTGTCCTGCAGAGATGCACAGAGAGAATGTAGAGGTTTGTTAAGGGGGGGGGGACTTTTGATGAATATAGAATCTAAGTAAAAAGCATATTTGGTCCTCTGCATTTCTCTGTTTTTAACACAGGAAGATAATGAATGAAACAACTGTCTACGTCTGTATGTGTGTGTTTCTTTGGCATAATGTGAATGTTTGATCATTTTGCACAAAGACATTAAATAATATATGAACATGGTGTTTTCTTGGATTAACGTAAAAGCAATAAGGTTATTTGGATAAATGAGTCAGTCTGAGGTAAGCATGTGTGCTCATTGATCCACTCACAGCTGCTGCTGCATTAAGTCTATTAGACCAGGGAGGCTAATAAGAGCTCAACACACCAGAAATCTGAAAGTCTGAATAACTCTTTGCTACTTTGCTTTTCTTATATTATCACAACTAGTTAAAAAAAAAGTATTTTATTGTCTGAGGACATTGCAGAAACATCTTTGACAGGCTGGGTTTTATTTATTTTTTAAACGTTCATCGTTCTTTTTACATTATCAGCCTCAACTATAAGACCAGCTGTACTTGTAACTAGTTAGTATTTTACATGTGTCAGTGCCATCAGGGAGCATTAAGACCCAGCCATATGGCTAATAAAAAATGGAGTTAAAAAGTTCTGTAGAGGGTTGTGTTGACTCACAGTGGGATTGACAGTAGTAACCTCCTTTATTACTGCACATCAGAGTAAACAGGCTTCAAACAGAGGGAGCACAATTGGCTTCCAAGCCCTCTTACAAACACCCAGAAATGTAACACATTGCTTGGAAATTGAGGAGATGCTCATATAAGTTTTATTCTATCAGGTACACATTATATTTTTCAGTAGTATGCATATATATGTTGGTGTAGACTGATGTCATTGTCACCATCTTAGTTTGTGTTGTGTGAATGTCACCTACTTACATTCTCAATTCAATTTTTCAGTTCAATTTATTTGTATAGCGTCAACTCATAACAAGTGTTATCTCAAGACACTTTACAAAAAGCAGGTAAAATACCTTACTCTTTGTTTGTTAACATTACAAAAGAGCAGGTAAAAAGACCTTACTCATTGTTATGTTACAAAAAGCAGGTAAAAGACATGGAAAGCATGAGAATTCAGACAGGAGGACTAAGTCAACCCAAAGAGGGGCCCTCAGGAGGAAACACAACTTTTGAAACACAAGAGAAGAATTTCTCTTCATCTTTACCTTGATGTAATCTCTCTCTCTCTCTCTCTCTCTCTAACTCTCTCTCTCTGTCTCTCTATCTCTTTCTCCCTCTCTCTCTCTCACTCTCTCTCTCTTTCTCTCTATCTCTTTCTCCCTCTCTCTCTCTCTCTCTTTCTGGCAGTCAGCCCAACATCCACTCTAACTGTATCTATGAACACAGCCTAGTGGTGTGTGTGTGTGTGTGTGTGTGTGTGTGTGTGTGTGTGTGTGGGTGTGTGTGTGTGTGTGTTTGTTCATGCACACACAACTTTTCCCCCTAACAACAGTACTGTAACCATCCAGTCCTGTGGACTATGGTGTGGGCTCCTTTCAAAATAATGGTCATCATGCTAACCTGTGCTGATAAATGTTACAGCACCTTACAGGCTCAAAAATACATCAAACACACATTCTGCAAACTTTTGAGAGTGTTTTTAACTTTTTAGAGACATGCTCCGTCTGTTGTTTAAGAAACAAGAACTACGTACTAAGTGGCTGTGGAACGACCTGCCTGAGGATCTCAGACTAGCTACATCAGTATCTTCTTTTAAATCACTTTTAAAAACACATTTTTATGGTAAGGCCTTCTTATAATCCTTGTTTCATCCATGATGTTTTATTTGTTTTACTGTTAACTTTAGCCAATCTCTGTCTCGGTTGTTTCTCTTTTCTCTGTTCATTGGATGATTGCTGCACTGTTGTTTTATTTTTCATGCTTCTAATAGTATTTTATTGTTGTGTATTTGACTGTTGGGATTTTTTCTTTTTTCTTTAAAGCACTTTGTGACGATGGTTTTGAGAAGTGCTTCATAAATAAACTTTATTATTGTTATTATAAGTGCTGTACATCTTCATGCTGTCATTAAAGTCCAGGATCTACAATGATATAATGTGTTTCAGAAGTTATTAAGAAGTGTGCAAAAGAAGATAATTTCCTCAAATAAGTGACTTTGACCTTATTTGATTGGCATTTGTTCCACAGACCTTCTGTTTTTTTCCCATCACAATACAGCTTATGGTATACTTTGTTAAAACCATGTTCATAAGAACTCACTGTTGCATGTTTTTTCAGAGCTTAGCCTTGCAGGATTATCTCTCGTGAAGATTCTACACCTCATTAAAACTGAACAACAAACAAAGCTTTGTATTGTGAACTACTCCTTGATTAAGAAGTTAAAGAAACTGCTGCGTGGACATAGTTCAGAAGACCTTGATCAAATATGGCAAATGTGAGAGAATTTAAGAGTAGTACTGTTAAGTTTTGGACTCCTTTTAACTTTGTTGAAAAGAAGAAGAAGGAAAAACGATGATTAAGCAAAACTACAAATATCTCTGTCTAGCATGTGAACCATTTATTAACTCCATACAGATTGATTTTTTATTTCATCATATTTGATCTTTCTCTTGGGCCACACACGGCATTTTTCTTATGCCTATAGTGCTTCCCTGAAACCCACAAGCGTTCCCCCTAGGAGTCATCATGTGATCCAAAAGCCATGTTTAAATTCAGTTACATTGTTTCTTCAGCATTTTGTTGAATTCCATTTTTGAAAACTTTAAAAGTGATTAAAGTGAAACCTCAGAGTTCAAATCAAGCAAGAGCAGGTCTACAGTATAGAATCAATTGTCCAATGTGATGAATATTTTCAACTTGCAGTACTTTCATTAGCTTTGCAGTAAAATCCATTCAGCACAGTGGTTCCTTTTATATGAAGAATAAACTGTGTGTGAAAGTGACCTCAAAAGAAACCAAACCAAACAGATGCTGGGAGATAAAATCCTCATTACACACAAACTTAATCTTTTCTCTGTGTTACATCCTCTCTATCTTTAAAGCAAATAAGGCCGATTGTTCATTTTGTCCAGCAGTTATTTACTTTATGAAAAGTTGTGTTTTTTTTCCAACCCCACAGCCCACACATTAATCCTTCTCCTGCTGTTGGGGGTTGTACTTCTTGTTTACTATATCTCAGTTCTTTCTGTGTGTCGGAGCCAGACTCATCTGGGTCGTATAGCTGATCTCTGACACACACTGGGTTCATGACAGTATGTTCAGATAACAGTAGACTGCTGTTGCTGTCAGAGCCCGCGGCCTTGCACCAGGCAGCCATGGTGCCACTAACGATCACTTAATAGCTTTTTAATGTTGCAGCCTGCACCTCGTGCCTGGCTCGGTGCCGAGTGGCAAATCGGCCGAAAAAAGTGTGTGTGAGGGTCCAAGTGTGACAATGTGTGGCAGTGTTTTTGTACACACATGCAGATGCCCATTTAAATTCCTGTATGCATCCCGCCCCAGTGTCCTCTCTGTGTTTTTTATCACCCACAGCCAGGCACCGTGCAGTAACACATTTTTCCTCTGACACACTCAGGATCACATCCACTCCACTCCAGCAGAGAGAGGAACTTTATCTGAGCTTCACCCTCAGCCCCGAGGACACAAACACACCACGTCTGCCATTTGGCACAACCCTCCTGCACACAAGAAAGACTCACTCTGTTTTCATACTCCTTTAATCCTCTGGGACTCTAGTCTGACTGACGCACACGCTGCTGAAGGTTTATGTCATCTGAACATGTGAAGAAATATTTACAGCAGCATCAGATTTCATTTCATGTCTCTTGCTTTCCTTCTTCTATCTCTAGATACTGTGTGTGTGTGTGTGTGTGTGTGTGTGTGTGTGTGTGTGTGTGTGTGTGTGTGTGTGTGTGTGTGTGTGTGTGTGTGTGTGTGCGTGTGTGTGTGCGTGTGTGTGTGTGTGTGTGTGTGTGTAAGTACTGACTGTGACATGGTACTTTCTAAACACATCAAAGCAGTGTTCAAGCTTTGCCTCCCTGGATTGCTGCGTGCATCAATTTTTAAAACTCTGAAGACACTTACAGTGAAGATGTTTTTTTTCTCCCCTGGACCAATAAGAGGGTTAAGAAACACCATTTTGCCAAAGAATATTTGGCTGTAGATAAATATTGAATCACGACTAGAAACCTACAGCAAACTTATGGACGTATGGAGCATGGGATCTGTTGGATTTATTGTAGTCAACTACACAACCTTATCAAAGGTTAACCAACCAATGTGTAGCCCCTTTTTAACGCCCCCTGTTCATGCTGCAGTCACACCGGATTTAAAGTGAAATGCGTTGAGGAGGGATGGTTTGGCTCCGGAGTCAGCATTGGACTATGAAAACAGAGAAGAAATTGCTTCTTTGTTAACATCGGTGCCATCTTGATCTGTAAAAAACTTGGCCCACTGTCTTCCCTTGTGAAACCATATGCAAACAATCTTGGCGTAACCTTTGATTCAACCCTTAAATTCGACACACAAATCAACTCAGTTGTTAAAGGCTGCTTTTTTCAACTATGGTCCTTAACTAAAGTAAAACTTTTTTTTATCTTTCCAAGATTCAGAAAAGCTTATTCATGCTTTTATTACGTTCCGCCTTGACTACTGTCTCTCCCTCTATATGGGAGTCAGTCAGTCCTCCCTCTCACAGCTACAGTACGTCCAGAACACCGCTGCAAGATTTTTAACAGGTACACGCAAGCAAGAGCACATCACCCCTGTACTCGCCTCCCTTCACTGGCTCCCTGTAGATCTTAGAGTCCATTTTAAAATTGTATTACTTGTTTTTAAGTCACTGCATGGTCTAGCCCCCCCGTATTTAACAGAACTTGTAACCCCCTACACCCCATCACGCCCACTTAGGTCCTCTGAACAGTCGCTCCTTGTATTCCCTCGAGCTCAACGAAAACTCAGAGATGACCATGCCTTCTCA